CGGCCAAGCTTCAGTTTCTCCTTCTCTAAATACTTTCCTCCCATTTCCTTTGTGAAAAGAGTTGACCAATGGCATGGAACCACACCTGTCTCTTCCTGACTCACCCTATCCCTCAGCTACTGAAAAGCCTTGAGAAAATTCATAAGTCATCAAGCACTGAATTAAAACTCTCAATAGGGAAAAACGGGTTTCGTTATAAGCAAGCCAGAAGACAGATTTGTCCTCCATTATCTATGCAATGCCAGATGCCTGTACTGTCTTAGACTCGTCACTAGATTCAGTGATGCCTGTGTCTTCATCGAAGCTGCCTATTTTCACACAAGTTGAAAATAAATACCATCTAGGCCTTGGTTAGATAATTTATTTGCTTTAGTTCACTGTTTAGTCACCTCTTTCACCGTTAGCCTCAATCTACACCCACTCTTGTTACCCACTGTTAGAATGAACCATTAGTTATTTCTTCATTGGGTCCAGCCTATGTATTGATAGACAGGGTTTCTATTATGCTATTCTTGAAACTTACATGTGTATTTGAATTATATGGATATTTCATTAAAATTTAGATTCTATTTCAGTATGTCTGGAGTTCAGCCTGAAATTCTGCATTCCTGACAAATTCTTATATAATGCTAATGTTACAGATCTCAGGTCACACACTGGTTAAAATAATCTATTGTCACCCTTTGTAGTGTTTGGAGTCTTCAACTAAAAACTCTGGAGGTTAAACCATACTAGCTATACACAAAATGGCCAAATTAGTTTGTCAAAGTAATTACTGAATGCTTACCACAAAGTTCCTAGTAAAACATTTTCATCTTAGCTGGAGTAATGGTTGATACATTGTGTCAACCTGAGAATTTTGGAAGTTTAAGCCACTCAGCAGGGAGCCCAGGGTCCTTACTTTGTAAACATCCTGAGCCTGTGCAAAAGGAGGGCCAGGAGATAGTGTGATTGCTATGCTCACCCTAGGAGAGTGGTAGCCTGCTTACAACACAAGGGAGGAAAAGATCCTTGCCCTTCCCTCTTTGCTCTTGCTTTTGCTGTCTGCAGCCACCTTGAACAGTTGCCCCTATTCCATGCCATCCTGTCTTGGAGCCAGCTGAATACTGACTGAAACCTCCACAAATGGTGAGCTAAATAAAATAAACCTTGCTTCCTTAATTTTGGGTGTCAAGTATTTTGTCTCAGCAATGGGGGAAAAGTAACTAAGATAGCTGGGTAGATATTTTCTAAACCATCTGGAACTTCATGATCTTAAAGACTTCTTTCCAAGATTTCCAAAGGCTTTCAATAGCTCATCAAAGCATTTAATATCCCTTCTATGGTTTTGCATACCAGGTTTTAATACAAGAATCATAATTCTCCACAGATGAGGTTCAAGCCAAAACAGTCTTTTTGGTGTACTCAAGCTGTTATTCATTCCACAAAAAACCTTTTATATGCTAGTCACCATTCTGTGTGCTATTTACTACTGACAATTGGAACACAGGCAAGGTTCACCTCCCATCAGGATAAGACATGACCAAGAAGAAAAAAAAATAAAAGTAAGTAAATAACTTCAGGTAGTGAAAAGTAAATGATGAAAACAAAACAGCATAATTAGAGGGTGATTAAAATGTACTTCAGAGGAGGTAATTACGGAAATCCTTTCTATTGTGACTCCATAGAGTGAGTTAGAAATGATGACAAGTCAGCCATGAAGAAACTGGAAACCACATTCCAGTGGTCTAATTTTCATGATTTACTGTGTAAACTTCCTTTTGAATGTTCTGTATTCAGTGTTCTAAGGCTATGCTGATTACTGTTGATTGCCAATGTGACCAGATTACAAAACTCCCAGAGACATGATTAGATTGTGAGGACATTAACTGTATCCATTTGTTAAACCATTGATGAATTTATAGCTGAATGGGCTATTAGGAGTGGGGCTTACTTAGAGGAATTGAGTCATGACAGTGCGACCTTGGAGACTGTATTTGGTCACTGGTCCCTTCCTTTCTGGCTCTTTCCAAAATGCTTTGCTTTCTGGCCACCGTGAGTTGAGCAGCTTTGTTCCACCACATTCCCTCACCACCCATTTATACCCTGAAGCCAGCTGGCCATGGACTGAAACCTCTGGAATCATGAGCTACAATAAACCACAGCTCCATTGTGACTGTCAAGTATTTTGTTCAAGATACCAGAAACTGACCAATAGAGTGGGTCTCGTAGAATGTGTCAGGAGATGTCACTTTGTAAATCCAATGGGTGTTCAATTATCTCTTCACTTATCCACATTCTTAGCTCTTTACAAAACAAAGAAGCAAAGATTAAGACTGACATATGGTGGCTGGATTGTTGAAGACAAAACCCAGCATGTAAGAGTAGCTTGCTATAAGCAGCAGAAAACTGTACAAGGACTATTTTTATCAGGCTTCCTGGTAGAGAGGAAAAATTCACTTTGATAAGCACTTACTGAGCACTTGCAATATATGGAGGAGGCATGGAACATAGAGATGAATTTGATGTGGATTTTGTCGTCAAGGAAAATACAAAGAAACTATAAAGTAAAATAAGAAAATGAGAAATAAGAGATGTGATGGGAAAAATCACTCTGAAGAAAGGGTGATCAATTTCACTGAAGAAAAACTGTTGATATTCCAGGAAGAAGTTAGTATTTGCCCTAAGCAGTGAAACATGAAACATGAGGCTTCATATTCATAGACAGAATTAAAGGCCACACAGCAAGAGGAGACCAGTTCACAAGCGAGTGGAAGAAAGAAAAGAGGCCTAAGACTGAGTTCTGAAACTGAATTCTGAGACTGAAGACTGAGTTCTGAGTTCTTTGAAAATGAGAACACATATGAAATGGAAATTTCAACCATATCAAATAATCCAGTGAGATAAGGAGTGAAGACTTACTTTTAGATTTCACCTTGTATAGGTAATTGGTGACCTCAAAAAGCTGTTTCAGTGGAAAATAAAAGGATTTGTTGAAATGGGCTGAAGAGAAAAGTATAAGAATTAAAGCCTGGCATGGTGGATGAGGCTTTCTCAAAACTTAACACTGCTGTGAATCTTGGAGATGCTACTAAAAGACAGTTTCTGATTCTTCAGGATAGGATCTAAGAGACTGTACTCTTAAGATCTAAAGTGTTGGTGAATCATAGTTTTAGTATTAAAAGAAGAGCATCTTTCAGGAATTTTCTGTAACAAGGAGCAGTAAAAGGAAGTGAGGGAACATAGTCGCCGAAGGAGAATGCAGAGTCCCGGAAATTAATTCTGAGATTCATACCATGAAGTATGCTTGTACATCAAAGGGAGAAGTGAATCAGAAATAAATAAATAAATCAAAATGGAGGAGAAAGGGGGAAATGCTTTGAGCAACGACCCTGAGTAGTCAAGAAAAAACAGCACCAGGTGGTACATGGAAGGAAACACAGACAGCTCATCTGTGTTATCAGGAAGCAACGTCCAGTTCACGGGTTCAGATGAAGATGAATGGGATAGTGGAGGGTGTACAGGTTGTCTTCCGATTGTTTTTATTTCTCAGTGTAAAAGGATATTTATATGATAGGAATAGGGAAAAAATGTATACAGTGTGAGGAAAGAAGGGGCAGGAAGTAATTGTGAAAAGTAAATTGGTAAGGGAAGTTTCCCTCTACTTAATCAAACCCTACTGGCTCCTTTCATAACATGTATTTTCTCCTTTTCTCTCTCTGTCTCTCTCTCTCTCTCTCACAGATTCAACTAAAGGCCTTCTTCATACTAAGCATCCACTCAACTATGCCCCCTGCCATAGCAATGTTTTTAACACTTGGCTGTAGTTGTAAAAATAAAATAACTAATTTAATCTGTGCACACATGCTCAAATCATTAAAATTGCTTCACTATAATATAGATAAATAACTCGTAGCAAAATAACATGGGTTACCATATTTAAATGTTCTGAAAAGATAAAGAAAATAATGCTCTGGTGTGAGGGTATTAAATTAGGGAAAAAAGCCCCTCCACAAACAGGCTCATGCCCCCTAGGGGGCGATACTGCCCTCGTTGATAATTACTGCTTCACAGGCCCAAAGGTCCAGAGACTTGCCATTGTAATCCCATGGGAAATTCCCTAGCACAGCTGCACAGTTTGCTCGAGTGCTGGGACACCAGTTCAGAGGAGGTAGAGTGATTGTTAACCAGCCTGGCAGATTTATTGGCAGAATAAATGGACAAAAATATGAAGCCAAGAGGTTTAAAATCCTCTTCAAAATCCTAAAAGAACTTTCAAAAGAAAAATTTTTTATTTGTTGTCTGGTGTTTTATTTTTAAATAATGCTTAAAATTCACTAAGCAGTAAAAACCTGAATAGAAACAAAGCTATTTAGAGACTCTATTGATCTCCTCCTTTTTTGTGTGGGAATAATCATCAGTTTCATATAATACCAGTTAATATGGTATAGGAATTGTACTGCCTTCCTAAATTTAACAGAAATAACTGTTTCTGAAAACACATTTGACCTGAAAGGTTTCAGAAAAAGGATTATGATGTACACATGTAAGGGTACAGATAAAATATTAAGCAATGTAAGCTAAAGTATACCAGATAGGAAATGAGAAAATGAACAATCAAGAAAAAAATTGAAAAAAATCCAGGTAGGGTGATGCACACCTGTAATCTCAGCACCCAGCAGACCGAGGCAGAAGGACTGCCGCAAATTCAAGGCCAACCTGGGCTACATAACAATTCCTTGTTTCAAAAATCCACAGTGTCCCAAGCTCCTTTCCTCTGGGGTAGCGGCAGACACAGTCTTTCAGACCTGCTCTTCTCCTGTTTCTGCTGCATGGCCCCCTATTCCTCACTTGCCTACTTTGCCTTTACTGCACTTGTAGTGCAGACAAGGCAAATTTGACTTTACCCTGCCCCTTTTATACCCGCACTGCGGCAGCACTGGAGCTATTAGTAGCATCTAGAGTGAAGAGTGTAACACACATATAATAGAACCACGAGAATATGTTAGACATAGGCCAACCTGATCTGGGGCGTGGAAGTTCAGATGGAGGCAATCCTGTGTGGAGGTCCTGCTAAGGGCCTGGCAGGGGTGCAAGCCACTGGGAGGAAGGCAAGGATCCCTAAGGCAGAGCGGGAGGCTGCGGCCAGGTCACCTTCAGAGAGAGACGCGTGGATTTCTGCTAAAGGAAACAGGCAGCCGTTCGAGGAAATGGCAACGCTCTGCTTTCTTTTAATAACATCACATTTGTACTTTTTCATGCTCTCAGTGGCATGTGTTAAAGTTCACCACTTAATTGCATCCAACTTACCCCTTTTCCTTTATTTTTAGCACTTCCGTGTCCTGTTTAAGAAATCTCTCGCGACTCCTAGTTTAAGAAGATATTCTCCGGGGCTGGGGATTTAGCTCAGCGGCATAAGTACCTGCCTTGCAAGCAGGCAGTTGTGAGTTCGATCCCCGGTACCGATAAAAATGAAAAAAAAAAAGAAGAAAAAAGAAAAAAAGAAGATATTCTCCGGGTTTCCTCTTACAGTAGTGATATATTTAACCTTTTATAAGGAGATCTAAAATTCACCTGGAGCATCTTTTTTGTGTACGGTAAGAGTTAAGGGTCAAGATTCATCCTGGGCCCCGCGCTTTGACTCCGCCCCAGTTGCGTCATTGCTGAGTCTCCAAGGGCTGCCGCCTTTGCTCACTTGCGCCTTCCTTCCGAGCCCTTTTCTTAGGTCAGGTTATTGCCTGCATGGATCTAGAGAATGTAAGAGCTCTACTCTCTTACATTCTGTCTTTTCATCATTTCTACAGACTTTCTTCAAAATGTTAAACGCTGCAAATTGAAAAGATGGATGTAGTTGAAAAATAGTTCTCATATAGGGCATTCTGACTTCACTTTCTCAGGACCCAGGGAAAGAGCTGAAGTGCTATGCTTTTAAGCCATATACTCTAATCTGTTTAAAGCACAGTTGACTTTTTAGCTGAAGACATAACGCATCTTCAAATTGAACAGCTTGATCACTAATGTTCACATATTTATCTATTTTGATCCTTTTCTAACCATACGTATGCAAACTATTTAAAGTTGCGTTTTTCAGACCTTTTCACCGTAACACAGTGATGGTTGTTACCCATTAATTGGTTTCAACTCAATTTGAAAAGCATATTTAGATCCTAAAATCCATAAAAAGAAAAACAAAACCTATGACTATAAATGATACACATCACTGTATATCCCAGAACTATTTATTTTGTACATTTTTCTTAGCTGGAATAGGCTGAATCAGTTTAACTTACAAGCTGATATTCATCATTTATTCTCACCACTTAGAATATAATACAGAAAAGTAACCAGTCAGGCACTTAGAGCATGCCTGTAATCTAGCTCTTGCACAGCCAAAGCAGGAGGGTCATCAGGAGTTTGAAGCCACCTGGACACTGTCTCAAAAAGAAAAGAAAAGGCACCACAATTTCTACAATTTTCCTATGGAGAATAGATAGACTTCACAAAGCTCAGAGACTTCAAGGTGCTGCAAAAGTTTTTCTCCTGCAGAAATGTGTATTTTATTGATTTTTTACCTATCACATTATAGAAACAAAATACAACTAAAGATATAAAAAATGACTGATTATGTGATTATAATGTAAATTCCTTGAGACCAAGATAACTCAAAATAGAAAGAGATAGCATTGAGCTTTCAAAAGAAAGTATTTCTGAATAGTGGTACATCTCAATTTGAGCTTTGGAAAGGATATAGATTTAGAATCTTGGGGTGATGTACGGGTACATTTTATGTTAGGAGTGATAGAAAGGAGTATATTTCAAAGCATAAATTGCATTTCTGGGCTTAAACTGGAATTACATTGTAAAGTACAGTCCGTGGTTTAAATAGGTCCTAAATGCAATATGATATCCTGGATTACATTCTGGAACAGATAAAAAGTGCATTAGAGAGAAAACTGATGAAATCCAAATAAAGTCTGGAGGTTAGTTAATAGTATTGTACCACTGTAGGAATCTTAGTTTTAGTAAATGTTTATTGGCTGCGTAATTTCTTAAACTTAGAGAAAGCTAGGGGAAGTATATACGGAAAATCATATTTTTAATGCATCTGTAAATCCAAAAGTATATAAAAACTAAAAGACCTCATCTGAAATTGATTCAAAAACTTGGGAGTAGAATATGAGAAATAATATAAAATTCTTTAGAGCAAGTTCAGAAAATCACTTCCAATAGATGCAGTTTTAACAGGTTCTTTAGCAGAAAGGCAAGGAGTGTTTGGGAGAAAAGAGGTTACATAAGTCATTGTCTTAGTCTTTTTTAGGCTTTAACGGAATAGACTGGGTAGTACACAAGGAACAAAAATTGGCTGTTCACAGTTCTGAAGGCTGAGAAATCCAAGACCATGGTTCAGATGATCTGGTGTCTGAGGAAGGTCCCTTCCCCACAGAGGACACTTTGTACATGTCCTTGCGTGGCAGAAGGATACAACACTCTCAAGCACTCTTTACAAGAGCACTCACCTGGTTCATGAAATCATAGCCCCTGTGATCTGCCACTTCCTAAAAGTCACACCTCTGAATATCATCACATTGGGAGTAGATTTCAATGCATGAATTTGGGGGAAACACAGATATTGAGACACAGCAAAAGAGAAAAAGAGAATCTTATGAAACTATAAAAAAAACTTTAAAAAATAAATTTAGGGACTGGGGATTTAGCTCAGCAGCATAGCGCCTTCCTTGCAAATGTGTGGTCGTGAGTTCGATCTCTGGTACCGATAAAAACGAAAAAAAAATAATAAAATAATAAAAATAAAAAATAAATTTAACATTAACCAATCATTGTCAAAGTCTGAGGCAAATCTGACATCTAAAAAGCAGATTTTAGCTTCAATATTTAAGCTTATGGCTAAATTCTGATCGAGAAAATGAAATATGACAATATTTATGTGACTCTAACTTTCATCTGAAAATCATGAAAACTTCTGAAAAGGTATGATGATGTGATGATACATTTCATTCATTTCAGCTTGAAGTAAAATGAACTCTTCATTTAGATTTTGAAAATAAAAATAAAAACAGATGAATACACTGTAGTATGTCCTCTTAAAAAATAATACTCTACTAAGATATCAAATTCTAAGTAGACTAATATGTTAATTTCTGGGAGGTGCCTCCCCCTATCAAAACTAAAATACAAGAAAGTTAAGTTTAGGGGCTGGGGATTTAGCTCAGCGGCATAAGCACCTCCCTTGCAAGCAGGCAGTCATGAGTTTGACCCCTGGTACCGATAAAAACGAAAAAGACAAAAAAAGAAAAAAGCAAGTTAAGTTTGACAGCACCAAGTCTGTAATCCCAACACTCAGGAGGCTGAAGCAGGAGGATCACCCTGAGTTTTAGGTCAGCCTGGACTATGTAGTGAATTTAAGGCCAGCCTGAACAACATAGAGCTTCTCCAACAAATAGTAGTAATAAGAAGAATATGCTAAAATAAACTTTAAACAATTGATTGGACTTGGAAAAGTTAACTTTACATTTAAATCTTGTGTCAGGAGGGTGAGGCTTGGGGCCTTAACTCTTCCATAAACTTACTACTTGTGTGGCTTTAAATAAGGCATTTATCATTACTGACTTTTTATTTCCTCATCTATAAAATGGATATTAACAATTCATAAGGTGGTTATCAAGATTAAACATGTTTGAAAAGGGTATTATAAATTACAGCAAATAATGTGACAGTTTTTTTAAAATAACAATAAAGCTATGGCATTTGTAAAGTATCATAATTCAGTGGAAAATGCTATATTAGATCACAGTATGTTAGAGTTCTAATCTGTGTTTAACACTTACCAGTGTGCAAAATTTCCTTGTGTCTCAGGGTTATCACTTTAAAATGTAACATTCTAATAGTAATAGTAATAATAACTACTTTATAAATTTTATCTCAAGCTAAAAACATTAGCTTTCCATATTTGTTAAATCAAATAGAGATAGCCTAAGCTCCAATAACGAAATAATACTTTGCAAGTTCAAGGTTAGTGAACATTTACAGACAAAGCACGTTTTCTTTTCGTATCACATTCTCCTGGCTCTTAGGCTGAAAACTCAAGTGCTCTCTGTGGTTCCCAGGTTTGGAGCTGAGCCTGGATCCTCTTGCTCTTCCCTCCCGCCCAGCCTCCACACTCCAGGAATGGTAGTTTTCTCTCTACCACCCCCAGGGAAGGACTGCCCTCCAGGCTGATTCTTCCTTTTGACACAGCTGGTCCAGGGAAAATGTCCCCAAACTTCCAGATTCTCCTATTGTGAGTTCTCACAAGATCAAGCAGGGATCCTTCATTAGACTAATAATAGGCAAATTCTGCAACATTTTAAAGCACGATGATTTGGATATTTCGTTTGTCAGAAACTTTCCACTAATTTTAATTTTTAAAAATAGTCAATGAAAACATTACGAGTTTTGGTTCCTGAGTTTTGGACACCCTTTAGAATTGTCAGGGACTAGTGAGTCACCTATCTTATCCTACCTCTGGCCCTGCACTTTTAGCCTGCTAATTCTAGAAGCACATTGTCTACGACAGAAACACAAATCTTGTGTAGTCAGTGAAGTCCTGCATATAGTTTTTGCTAGAAATAAACTGGTTTGCAGACCATATAAATGATCAAAACAGTTTTTGAAACTAGCACTCATAGAATTAATCTGACTACAATTTTATCAGTCCAAAAAATACATGTTGCAATACATTGTCCCGCTTGGTCAACTTCAAAAAATAGCCTAATTCCTGCTTTTATTTCACTGTGTAATTGATTTCCTAACACATTTTGAAGAAATTAAATTTCCCTAGAGATGAGATCAGATGACAACAGATGCATTTATTTATTTTAGCTTACTTTTAAGGGGCTGTGTAAAGGAAAGTTAAATCAAAATGGGATAAAAACTAATGCATGTGTAAGTTGGGGTGGGAAAGAGATTTTAGATTTTTAAAGGCATTATCTCAAATTCTCCACCAGATCACATTTTTACAGGAGCCAAGGGAGCAGACAGAATCAGTGGTAGAGGAGGAAGTAGTGATCTTGTTCATTGTGTGCATTGTTATAGCGATTAGCCAGTGATAAAAGCAGGGTGTGGTTTTGATGATTTGAGGTAAAGAAAGACTCTTGCTTTTAGTGTGTGTATTCACTTTAAAGACTTGGAAAGAATGTTCTGCTTAGAAGTTTTTTAGTTCATTTAAATCATATTTTTTATTAAAATCCAAATATTAGTATTTTTATCACACACACCAAAAAAAGAAATTAAAAGAAGTCTGGGTGACCTGAGAACATATGTGTGTCGTTTTTCAAGACCACCACAAGGAACTATAGGGACCAAGAGAAGAGCAGTTTTAAAAAATTATTTGCTTTTAGAGTTTTGCTGTGAATAGTATGTTCTAAGGTAGCCTTATCTAACTTCTAAATGAAGGAGGAGCCATTACACTTGATGGGGGAGTCCAGGGAATAACAAATAAAAAATAGTTTACATATTTTCGCTACTGGAAATTATTTGCTGTTTTCCAACCTCATAATTGAAATCTATTGAAAATAAACAGCGAAGAACTGCTCTCTGATATGTGAATCGTACAAAAGCTTCAGGTCAAAATTGAAGAGATTCTTAAACATTGATTTGGTTTCTAATAGTGCGGGTGTATTTATACAAACGATTAAATTTCACTAGACTACGGCCAACGGTGAGCGTTGGTTGACCGACGTTCCAGAGTAAATTGTTACTTTCCAGTCACATTAATGGGACGAGGGGCAGTAGTAGGAATTTATCTGAGACTAGGAGTAGGTTGAGATGAGGAATGGAGATGATGGGAGAGTGTAAGCGATTGCGGGCGTGTGTTCACATAAACTGTTATTTCCAGTGATTAAAAACTGCCTCTTCTGCTTGAGATTCACTTCATTGGTGTCTACAATTTAAATGTGGCTGCACACACACCGCTTGCTCTCGTTAGACAGATACCTGGGTGCCTACTGCGTGCTAAACCCATGCCTTTGGGATTCAGAGGCTATGGCCTGTGGGGAGGCCTGCGAGCACGAACTGAATTGGCCAGGTCCCTCGGGGAGACTACCAGGGAGTGCAGAGTCCCATTCTTTCTAGCCAAGTCCCTCGCCACGCCTTCCATGCGGCCCCGCCCCTCGATGGCCACGCCCCTTACGGGCCCCGCCCCCGCCTGGCCCCGCCCTTCACGCAGGGTTCCGGTGACCTGCAGCATCACCAGCAGCCGGAGTCCCGGGCGGAGCACGAGGCCGCGTAGATCTCAGCGGAGGCGCTTGGGTGTCCTCGCCCTTTGGAAGAAACTTCGGAGGGGCTCGCCGCAGCCTGGGTAAGTCTTAGTTCCTGGCCTGGTAGAAAGTGGGGTTTGGGGGCCTCAGGCCTCAAACCACGTGGCGGAGCGGCGCTGGGGGAAATGTCCTTTAAGTGATTTTTTAAAAGTTCTTGTTTCAAAGCTTAGTGTACGTTTCATTCCATGAGGTGAGTTTCTAGGAAAATGTTCAAATGCGTGTGAAGACAACAGACCGCGCTTCCCTTTACTTTGCATTAGCTGTGGTAGTGACACCCAAATTACTCCAGGAGCAAAGAAAAAACCCAAAGGCAGCTGTTGATGGCTGTTCCCCTCACCCGCCGCCCCTTAGACCACGTGCCAGTAAATGCAAAAGGTTCTCAGCCAGCATGGTGGGCTCACCAGCAGTCCTAGCCCTCTGGGAGGATGAAGCAGGAGAGTCTCAAGTTCGAGCCCGTCCTTGGAGACTTGGCGAGACCAAAAGTAAAAATGGAAGAGGAGAGTTGGGGGTGGGAGTGGGCTGGGGATGTCTTTATGAGCTAAGGCCCTGAGTTCAGCCCCTAGGCCTGATGGGGGGAAAAGTGGGATTTTGTCTTAGTTCCTGCCCTCCCAGCAGTCTTTTCTAGGATAATTAAATTGTTCACTAAGGCTTTCTTTTTACCGTTGTCCTCCCCAATCCATTCTCCTGTGTCGTCATTGGGCCCAAGCCAGAAGTCGCTGTCCCTTTGTGTGAAGCCCTGTAATGGTTCCCTCTGGCCAGGAGCGCGATGCAAATGGCTCCCGGTCCACATCCTAGCTCGGTCCCCTCTGCTGCCATGTTGGGTTGGGAAGATGGCGGCCTCTGCCCGCCATGCTGGGCGCTCTGGGCTGCACCCTGGCCCTGTGCGCCTTTCCTGCCAGTCTGAATGTTACTTATGCAGGTTTCAGTCCAGTGTCCCCTGCTTGCAAATCTCCCTAGACGTTTCTTATAAAAGCAACCTCTGATGTTTTGAAACTATTTTATTTACCACTGAGTGTCTTCCTCCATAAGCAGAGTCCTGTGGTGACCATGAACTTTGAGTCTTTCACTGCTGTGTGTCCACCATATAAAACATTAATGGGTACTAAATATTGGTGAGATGATTGAGTAACTAAATGCGTCCCATGAAGTATTTCTTCCGACAGTTGGAGAGGTATAAAATTGGGTTAATCAACAATGCTTTTTTTCTTTTGTGTATGTAGGGTGTACAGTACTAGGTACTAGGGACTTCACACAGAGCTACATTCCTAACATTTTTGGGCTCTTTATTTTTGAAGACAATGCTAGGTTCAATTTGGGATCCTCCTGCCTCAGCCTTCCAGAGAACTGAAATTACAGGCATAATACACAACATGCAGCAGTGTATTAATTTAATGTTCAGATTTTGTTGTCCCACGTTTACCAGTAAATTCAGTTATTTCCGTTAACAGAGAGGGCTTGTTATATATTGCTTTCTAATAATAAATTACTAAACTTTCATTTCAGTTTCATATATAACTCTCATAAACTTGCATTATTGTAATAAAAGAATTGCTTAATTCTTTGGAGATCTAACAAATAAAAAATCTATCCTAGAAAAGTAAGGTGTATACATGAAACTTATTAAATTGAACACACTCCTGTCTTCTCACTTATGATCTCTATGGGATGTCTTTCTAAATAGCACTTTGCAACGTTTTGAAATTTCTATATCGTATGTCTGAAATTCCGAATAAATTCTTAATAAAATAGTGTTACATGACTGCTGAATCAGAAAACACTAGCACAATAACTAACATGTGCTTCAACTTATTTCATTAGACTGTTGTGCTGACTGCTGGGACGTGATAAACAAGATAAGCGGGCCATTTGCCCTCAAAACTCAAGCCTGGAAGGTAAGGCACACCTTAAATAAATGGTACCAACAGCTGTAACTTGTATCAAATAGGGAGCAAGAGGGAAATCTAGCTCAAAGAATGGTGGTGAGTTCATGTAACCTAAACAGTCTGGGAAGGTGAAGCAGGAGGATCACAAGTTAAAGCCCAGATGGGCAGTTGAGTAAGACACTGTCTCAAAACTTTAAAAATGACTGGGAATATAGCTTATTGTGAAAGTCCTAGGTTTAATCCCTAATATGAAAAATAAGTAATCAAGAAGGCCCTGAGAAGTGACATTTAAGCAAAGATCTGAAGTAGAGATGGACAGCAGTGTGTGTGTGTGCACCTACAGGGGCAGTAAAGATGAATGGGTAATGTTTCAGCACCAGGACTGGGCTCATCTGGTACTTTATTGGAGAGAGTTTATTATGGCTGAAAGAAGAGAAAGAGATGGTGAGAAATACGCTTAGAGAAAAACCAAGAAAATCAAACTACAGTTTTAAATAGACTAATTGAAGGAAAAGAGGCTTTTGTGTTTGATCCTAGTAATTATGCTCCAAGGTGCTAAGATTTTGTTTGTTAAATATGCCGGCATAGTCTCCCAGTTTTATTTCGCCTTTTTAAGGACACAATAAACTGTAACATTTTCAGTAGTTTTTTTTATCAAACATTTCAAAAGAAAGATTGTAAACTCTTCCCTTAGCTGAAACATGTTTTATATGTATTGTGTTTATTTATTGCCCGAAGTGAATGGCATGATTGTTTTTTTAAGATGTTCTTTTTTAATGTGGCTATTTAAAAGTACCTTCAATCTGTTAATTTTCACCCCACCAATTTTACATTTGGCCTTATTTAAATAGCATTTAATTTTTGTTCCTGCAGCAGGACATCACAACAATAAAGAAAGAAATCTTTATTTATGAGCAAAAAGGCTCTTAGAAAAGCAGCAATAACATCATATTCATGCTGTAACTTTTTTTTTTTTTTTTTTGTCTTTTTCGTTTTTATCGGTACCGGGGATCGAACTCACGACTGCCTGCTTGCAAGGCAGGCTCTTATGCCGCTGAGCTAAATCTCCAGCCCCCATGCTGTAACTTTTAAATGGTCTTACAGTCCGATCCCTTTTGTTGTTTTTAATTTTGAGACTGATTGTCACTACATTGCCTAGCCTGGGCTCACACTTGAAATCCTCCTGCCTCAGCCTCCCAAAGCAGCCTTCACCTTGCTTTTAAGTTTTAAGGAAAACAGAAGGAATTTTCAGGGCTAAATTTAAATTATCTTGGCCATTTACCGAGTGCTGTGGATTTTTTATATTATTGCTTTTTTTATTTTATTTTAATTCATTTATATATTTTTGGTACTGGGCATCAAACTCACAACTTGGTGCTTGCCAGGCAGGCACTTATGCCACTGAGCAGCCCCAGACCCTATGGCCTTTTTAGAACAGTGCGCCGGCAAACCACAGTCGAAGGGTAAAATCCAGTCTGTCCCCATTTTATTGTAGAACAGCTGACCTTACTCCTGCACATGTCATCTGTGAATGTTTACCATTGCAGCTACAGTGCTTGGTGGTTTGCAGAGATCAGTGGACCCCAGAACTTTACTCTGGCCCATTACAGAGAAAAAGTGGTCATTCCTTGCCTAGTAATGTAGCCAGATCCAGTACACATTTGTAGAATAAATAAAAGTAATGAAACAGCACCGTTTTGTGTAAACTTTCAGATTTGTTGCATCCCATGAGAACAGAAATATCCTGACTTCTTCACTTGCTTTGTTTTTTAATTAGATGCCACTTAGCTACCTCTTTAAAGGGTTGGTTGCCTGAGTGTCTATTTAAAGTCCAAGCTTCTACTTTCTGACAGCCCCTATGCTATCTACAGCACTTGCCTTCTAGGCTTGACAGACATAATTTATTTATCTCATTATCTCATATGTTCAGGCATCGGAAACTTAGCTTTTTTTGCAGGGTGTGGCCTCCAGTAGGGCTGGTATCGTAGCGGGACTTAGTCAGTATGAGGAGCTAGGTCAGGTAACGCTTTTATACCAGAGTAATACCCAGGATTGACCCATGTCTTGTGCCAGAATTGTCTTAGGAAGTTCATCAGGGAATATGTAAATTTAGCCATTCATATTGGAAAGTGTGTTCTAAACCATTTTTTGAGGTTATTCTCTGATGATGGCTCTCATAAGGTTATTATCATAAAGCAGGTGTGTGTTGAAGCCAGCTTCCCTGAGATCACAGCTGTCCGCAAGCAACTAATCCCTCCTGGTTTTAACCTTCAACAAGGCAGTCGGGGAACAATATGAATCGGCCAGTGGAGAGAAGGGCCAGGACTGGTGGCCAGAAAGGCCAGGGTGGACGAGTCCTCGATGGAGCAAAACCAGAGCAGCCTTGGGCAAGCTCAGTCTCTGTAGCAGAAGTGGAACCAGTTCCTGTGACCTGGGCCCCATGTGACAGAGGCTCCTGCCCCGAACCTAGCCCTCAAGCCAGTGGAGAGGAGGAACCCCCTGACTGCTACATAGAGTGTGTAATAACAGGTCAGTTTTCTGAACCCAGCCTGAAAGAAGCTTTCCTTCTTAGATCCTTTGAAAACCTAAGCGAATGTTCTTTGGGATACATGAAAGATGATGCGAAGCAAAAGCCCCTCCCACTGAGGTGGGCTGAAGAGGATGCACACCTCTGGGATTCCAAGTACATGGCAAGCAAGAAGTCTCCTGCTGGGGGAGTCCCTGGCACTGACCTGTCAGGTCCTAAGGAGCTCAGAGAATTTGCTAATAAGAAGCTCCCTCAAGATGAAGACCAGGGCGCTCCAGAGACACTCCCTTGTCCTCACATTGGATGCACAAAGAGGCTGCGGAATAAAACCTCCCTGCGGAAGCACCTTGTGCTGCATGCGCCCCGACGCTTCGTGTGTGCAGAGTGTGGGCGCGCCTTCTATGAGAGCAGCAAGCTGTCCCGCCACTTCCTGGTGCACACAGGTGAGAGGCCCTTCCAGTGCACCTTTGCAGGCTGTGGGAAGCGCTTCGCCCTGGATTTTAACCTCCGCACCCATGTGCGCATCCACACTGGGGAGAAGCTCTTCGTCTGTCCCATCCAGGGCTGTTCCTCGAAGTTTGTACAGTCCGGCAACCTCAAATCTCACATTATAACTCATCAAAAGGTGAAAAAGAACCAGGACCGGGTCCTCCAACAGGATAAGCATTAACAGTGATTGTAGGAAGCATTGCAGCCCTGGAAGGTGTATTTTTAGTTTTATTTAGCTGCTCTGTACTTCGTGATACTGTTTGAAAAATGCTGAGTATTCTACTGTGTATGTATATCAGAGAGTCAGGACAAATATACTCCAAAAGCGTAATGTAAGTATTAGAGTTACTGGATATAATACTTATTTTTGCTTGCTATCCACATGAAAATAATTTTGCAGTTTCCAGTTGTGACTTTTACCTTTGAGAAATGTACTTTTGGGAATGGGGATTTAGCTCAGTGAATAAGCCCCTGTCTGGCAAGGGAAAAAAATGTACTTTTGAAACAGATGATGATTATCTCAGAGAACGAGTATTTTGCAATAGAGAGTCAATTAGTGGATAAATGTTTATGATCTTGATCATTGTATCAAATTATGTTGAAGTTATGAGTGGTTGATACTGTTAACCCATTTGAATTTATCCTAGAATTTCAAAATAAAAGGATATAAAATGTAGAGGTATGCTAAACCTGAATTCAGGTTTGCATTAAAAAGACACTCCCTTTTTGAAAAAAAATTGTTCTTAAAAAGTAGTAAAACATTGCAAAAACTTAGTATTGGTGAAACATGGACAGAAAGTCCAAGGTAGATTTATTATTCGTGGTAGATTAAAATGCCCATTGTGACAACCACTTTGAAAGTTGTTTTGCATAAGTACCCTATTAGTTTCCTACAGCTGCCACGGAGTGACAAAACCTGGGTGTCTTAAACAATTAGTTCCAGAGGTGACTTGGCCAAAAATCAAGCAGTCAGTAAGATTGGCTTCTTCTGAGGACCAGCTTTGGAAGGAATCTGCCAGGCTTGCCACCTTGGCTTGTGGTAAACATCTCTCTGTGTGACATGCCACTCTTCCTGTTTTCCATCTTGTCCATCTGGGCCTGTTTCTGCTCAGATTTCCCCTAACAAGAACACTACTTATTGGATTGAAACCCTGCTAATGACTCCATCTTACCTAGATTGCCTCTCTAAAGACCCCTTCTTCAAAAAGGTCACTCTCTGAGGTCTTATGAGCTAGAATTTGAATGTGTGAATTTGGAAGGGACACACAAATGCACAAGTACATTATTTTAGATTCAATTTTTTTCTAGAAATATGTGAGCTATATAAGTATTTTTCCAGGTTATTAAATGAATCAGTTTTGATAGTAATAAATTCATGACCAGTGTCCACTAAGAAACAGTTTGCATCCATCAGGCTAGTGGTATTAAATGGAAAATGTACATTTTCAATTTCTACAAAAGATAGGAAAGAACCACACTTAGAGGGAAACCACAGAATAAAGTTTGTTTTCCACAGACAGGATCTGGTGAAAACTGGGCTTATATTCTTTGGAAGAAAATTCATTCAAGTGGCTAAATATGTGTGAGAAGGAATCACAGGTGGCTGATATAAATACAATCCCATCTATTTTCAGGATTTTAACTTACTATGTATGATTGTGAGTCTTGGAATCACTTTATCCTGGACATTAAATACACAAGCCATCAAATTTTGAATGCATTTTCTACTCTATTGATACTATAAATGATTAACTATGGTATAATTAAAATATCATAAAATCAAGAATAGTTAACATTTAGTTGTAATAGTCAGAGCTTCTTAGAAGTTACGCTAATACTATTTAAAATCTGTCAGAAGTGAATCTTGGGTCTCTGAGAGAGAAAATGAGCACATAATTCATTTGCAAATTCAAAATTACCTCTAAGTCAATTGAACTCCAGAGAACAGAATTTTAAGATTGGAATTTGATCAAGATGATGGAGCATATGTTCAGTTTTTGCTTTGGCTATACTAGGATTTGGTCCTCTGGATTTTGACGTTAGGGTTGAACTAGGACTTCATACCTCTGGAGACATCAAAACAAGCAGGTTTTGGGCTACTGTAAGCTCTGGACTGGGAGGAAAGGCAGCATGAGGGATCAAGATTAGCTCTCTCTGGTCAGATGTATAAATCTCCTTCTGGAGCTGAAGTATCCAAAACCTATTGTATAATATACAATTGTATCTGAATTTTGAGACTTACTTAAATCCTGATTTAGGAAGAGGATGTGTAGTTACTTAGTGAGTTTCCTAGATGTGTGTCATTTTTTTCTTTTCTAGAAAAGAAATAACACTGCTAAGATTGTAAAAGGAAAAAGGCAAATAGAAGCAATGGAAAAAGAAAAATCCCACTTCATGTCTTCTCATATTATTAGTATTTTAAATAAAAACATAAGATGTCACCACAAATCGAGGGAAAACTGAGCAAGAAAGTAAATCCATCAAGATTTTCACATTCCAGGTACTGGCATCTAATACCAAATCAGATGAATCAGTGTTTGTGTTTTCAAATTGATACTTGACTTTGTCCCAAATTTTTTTTGTGACCAAATATTAATAATGGAGAGTTAACACCACAAAACTGTTTCTACAAAACAGAATCTTAATATTTTAAACATTTCTATATATAGCTGAGATATATGATATATTGCTTTGATAAAGTGAAAGGATTACTATAAACAATTAACCTATATATCACCTTCCTGAATGCCTGCTAGGGCTGGTGCACAACTCTAATCCCAGCACTCATGAGGCTGAAGCAAGAAACTCACAGCTAGAGGCTGGCCTGGGCTACATAGTGTGTTCAAGGCCAGCCTGAACTATATAGCAAGACAATACAATGCTGTTAGATTTATGAACTCTCTATTTCTCTATCACCCTATCTGTGGTCACTATGTTTATCTTCTATATATTCAACAGGTTTTCTTTTGGATATAAAGTAAGATCATGTATTTTTTTTCAGTATTTAGTTTGTCTTAGCATAATGCTCTTCAAATTTATATGTATTACTGGGAATAGCAATAGCTTTTTTTAAAGGATGAATGATAGATCTGTTGTACATATGTATAAATTCATTCATTGTTTTGATCTGTTATGTTTGGTCTGTTATGCATCTGTTGATGTAACAGATTTCCAAATCTCAGTTATTTGAATAATGTGTAAATAAGTGGACATGCAGATAATCTTCATGAGGCAATGACTTGGTTATACAGTTATGTGTGCAATAACTGATATGTGCTCGTCCTGATTTATTTTTTGAGGGTCCTCCATGGTCTCTTGCACAGTGACTGTCAATTTACATTCTAAAGGATTATGTGAGTTCTTTATTTTGAGGATCTCATATACATGGTTTACAAATATTTTCTTCCAGTTCATAAGCTGCCTTTTGATTTTCTCGATTTTTTTTTTTTCCTTCCTTACTGTGCAAAAGCTTTTCAGTTTGATCAGCCCCATCTTTATTCTTTGCTTTTAGGCCTGAGCTTTTGGTGTGAGATCAAAAAAAGAAACAAAACACATTGCCAAACCAATATCAAAGAGCCTTTTCTCTGTGTTTTTCTTCTAGAAGTTTCACTGTTTCAGGTCTTTAGGGTTAGAATTTATGTTCATGTGTGGTATAAGGTAACAATGCACTTGCATTCTCTTGCAAATGGATATCCAGTTTTTCTGTCCATTCTTGACAAAGTTATCATTCCCCAGTATGTCTTGGTGGCCTAATGAGAAATCGACAAATGTGCTTGGATTTATTTCTGGGCTGTCTATGTATTTGGTGTTGTGCTAGTACTGTTACTTTGATTATTGTAGTATTAGAAATGCTTGATTTGAAATCAAGGAATGTGATAACATTGTTTTAGCTATTCAGGGTCTTCAGTAGTTCCATATAAATTTTAGGTTTTTTTTTTTTTTTCTTCTGTGAAGTGACACTGGGATTTTGCTAAGGGTTGCATTGAATCTGTAGTTTGCTTTGGGTAGTGTGGATATTTTAACAAGATTAACTCTCCCAACCTATGTAGATGGGCTTTCTTACCGTTTATTTGTGTCATTTTCAATTTCTTTCAATGTTGTTTATAGTTTTCAGTGTGTAAATCTTTCACTTCCTTGGTTTAAGTTTATTCTGAAGTGTTCTTTTTTAATGCTTTCAGAAATGGGTTTGTTTGTTTGTTTCAGAGGGACTATCACTAGTGTAAAGAAATGCAACTGATTAAAAAGCTAAAAATCTTAAGCCAGAGTCCATGACTATTTTATTTGTTAACATTAATAGATTGGCCATAATTAGTAGGCATTTAATAAACTGGAATGAATAAGTGTATAAAACAGTAATGTCTTAGAACATAGTAAGGCTATAAAAATTAAATTGTATATAATTCACACATGGATAATAAGACTTTTTTTTTTTTTATATAAAACCTGATTGTTTTGTCTACTGTGGTTGTAATCCCAGCACTCAAGAGACTGAGGAATGTGGATTGCTATTAGTTCAAGGCCAGCCTGGAGTATTTAGCAAGAGCCTGTCTCAGAAAACAAGCAACAAATCTGATTGTTCTGAAATAAAAGTGAGCAACTTTACTATAATAATAAGATATGCTCAATAAAGGAAACAGTACAGATACTTGTGTTTGTGCATATGTATGTCCTAAACACAACTCCATTTGAAATTGCAATAATTGTCTTGCCTCAGCCTCGTGAGTGTTGGATTACAGGTGTGTGCCATCATACCTGGCTTCTACAAAATTTTATCACTACACTAAAAAAAAAAATTTTTTTTGAGACAGGGTCTCATGTAGTTCAGGATGGCGTTGAACTCTCAGCAGTCTTTTGTTTCAGCTTCCCAAGCCCTGGGATTACAGCTGTGCCACCTCACAACCTGATTCACAGAGATTTTTAAATTGTATTTGATCATCTTTCTTGTGAAAATAGTTTCATTATCTTTATTTTTCTGTGTATCTGTCAGAGATGGAGGATCTGTTTACCTCCCAATATTTTAGATAATGAAGAACAAACCAATGTTAATATTGTGATCAAATAATTTAAAATGTGCCATGTAACTTACATAAAATGTGCACAGATGTCTCAATCGTATATGATCTTTGTATTTCATCCAGAATATAGCTACAAGGTACATGAGTGAGGACAAGAATTTTCAGAATTCTATCTAAAACCAGATTTGTCAGGTTTTTATATTTTGCTGCCGGGTAAATGCATGAGCAGAAATCCATGTGTGCCTGTATTTTAATTGCACTGGCTCTGACTGAATAAATTGCATGATTACATCCTACATTGGACACAGAACAGTGCAAGTTATATTAAAAACCCATTATATTTGCATCTCTGAGCAAGGGACTATAATTAAAAGGCAATTGGATGAAATTAGCTTTAAGAGTACAAGAGTTTAAGCAAGATTTGGTAAATGAACATTAATGGTTAACATGTGGTTTTTATTAAGTCTTCCTTTTTTTCCTCTCTGACCCAGAGTTAAATTTTTTAGATGTCAGTGGGCTAACTTGTAGAACACCTGTACAGAGTTTTGCTTTACCATATGGCTAAAGTTATATCCATAAAACAAGCCAACATAATTTTTGTGACTTCAGTAAATCAAAGGTATTAGGTAGGTTACAATGATACCCTGGGTATTAATAAACTATTCCTAGTGCTCCTAAGATCTTAGTTGTATGTCGTAAAAAGCATATAGTACTTGCTCCCCACAATTCAAAATGCTGGTCATAAAATGCACATACAAAGCAGAAAACTAATAAAATGAGAATTTGATTATCATCATTAAACAAAAAATTTGTACACAATATGTATAATAGCACTTTATAAGAAAATTCATTGCATACTGTGAGAACTCAGCATGTTAATGGTATTTTTGAGGGAAAGCTTGTAAGTTTATCAGATATATATTCATAATAGGTATATTTTTGGCATATTAAAGATGACTGTAAATTACTTATTCATTAAGAGTTGGAGTCTCTGCACTAACTAGCTTAATGTTGCATTTGTAGGTTATAAAATTTTGTATCAAAATTTGTACAACTACAAGTTCACAATTGAAAAATTGAGTTGAGAGCCTATTTCCCTTTTCTTGGGGATGACTGGATTGGATAGGGATTGATTTAAGGAGTTGTGTCAATTCCAGACCTAATTTTTTAAGAGCTATGATAGCTACTACCACAGCCTGGGCATATCCAAGCCACAGCCCCAGGCCTTGTGGGATAAGAAAATGAGAACAAGGCGTAGTGAGGTGACAGTGATGAGGGAAGGAGCCATTTTGGAAAGGACATCTGTCCCCAGGCACTTTAGGTGAGACCACGCTAGTTGGACACAAACTGCTCAAGTGATCTGTTCTTGATCCATAAAATGCCGCACAAAATAACATGGTTGCTGTAAGCTACTGAGTTTGTTACACAGCAACAGTGAGCAAACTGCGCTTCAGATTTGTTGTCTTTCACTGCTTTTTACATGGGTATGTATACACGTATAGACATAGGTTATCATAAATCTAAATCGACAAGCTCTCACTTACCATATACATTCGTCCCTCCATAGCCACAGGCACCACATCCAACTGCAACCAAGCTGCAAGCAGTCTAACTTCAGCAACAGTTAGACTATGATGGTTGCTTTTGTGCTATGCACAAGCTTTACAATGTACATCCTTTATTAAATAGTTATTATACTGCAGTATTTAGGGGGAAATGACAAGAAAAATAGTGCAGATGCAGTTTTAGAAATGTGTCCTCAGGCCTGGTGGTGCACACCTGTAGTCCCAGCACCGAGGAGGCTGAGGCAAGAGAATGGCAAGTGAGAGGCTCACCTCAGCTAAGTAGTGAAATCAAAGCCAGCCTGAGCCACACAGTGAGATCGTATCTAAATAAATAAACCATAAGCTTTCAGCCTGAAGTTAGTTGGATCTACAAATGCAGAACCTGTGGACATGGAAGTATGTAATTTTAGTTACTGTATCCTAACTTACTTTCGGACTCATACTCAGTAAAATAGATCTACTTGTTGGGATATCTAAAGGAACTGCAGCAGCCTTTAAGAAAACTAAAACCCATTTCTAAAGGTTAGAGAGGAGAAACCTTCACTAGGGAAGAAGGATTTTCCTTCACAGAAAATGTTCTGCTATCCTGGGTGGGTCACTTTTCCCCTGGAGGATCCCACTAATTAACGCTGCCACCGCTGCTGTCTTTCAGGGGCCACTCTGCTTTAACACTGACCCCAGCTGTACCGCATAGGGCTCCCTCCATTACTCAGCAATAAAACTGACATGAGGCTGAACCTTAAAAGCAAGAAAATAACACAGTGTAGCTTGTTTTCTAAGGTCATGGGCATACGATTCACCTACTTCAGAATCCTGAGTTCAGAGTAAAAGCTATGAT